CAATATTGAAGAGTAAAATAATCTAAAATTAAAATATTAATTTTTTATTTTTAATTATTCATTTGGCTTCTTCATGCTCTACGGGAGACCTGCCATGGCGCATTAGAGCATTTCCAATCAATTTTAAAGGATGAAATTAAAAAAATATAAGTTTAAAAAAATAATCAAGTAAATGTAGGTGAATCTTCTAAATGTAAATTAATCTTCTAAACTCACAACTAATGAAATTTTAGATATTGACTCATTCAAAAAGCTCAATTTCTAATTAATTTAATGTTAAAAGATTAAACTTAAAAAAATATTAATTTAAAAAATTATTAAAGTAAAAAAATAAAAATAATGATAAAAAATTTGATAGGAAGAAAAACCAGATGATGAAATCCTAAAAAAAAATCAATCTTAAAAATTATCTTAAATAAAATAAATAGCAATCAGAAGAAAGATGACTAAATATAATATATGCAAAAATTAAAAGATGATGAAATTAAAAAACTCAATTTAAAAATTATTTAATATAAAAAAATAGTAATTAAAAGAGTAAGAATCAAAAATAAATTGAAAAGTTATTTTAAAACTTTGTAAGGGCAAATGCAAAATTTAAAGAAAAAAAAATAAAAAAAATTATTGACATCAAACTAGAAGGAAATCAATCATATATAACACCCAAAGATGAAGGGCCGTTGATGATTCAAATGCTGTCGTAAAAACCAATATTTAATCATTGAACAATGTTATATATGCCGTTCAAAAAGCAATGATTTTATCATTCATTTCAGTATGAATAACACAGTTTTTTCACTTTTTAATATTAAATAATATTTTATATATGCTACAGTACAAATTGTTTTGCCCATAATTCAACCCAATAATTATAAAAAATTATTATGAGAATATCATAGAACCTGGACACCAACTTAAGATAATTTGAATTTTAAATATTTTATTAGGAACAAAAACAAAAAACCTAATTACCCAGTTGCCCAGGCTTTTTTTTTTTAAATTTTTTTAGTTTAGAATGATAAAATTATAATTTCACTGTTAATCCACAGTGACAATAAATCGAGTGTGGGTATTTTCTGAAATATTATTAATTGTCACAAAGGCTACCACCTGGTTTGGGATAGAAGAAAGTGGCCCTGGATGATGTTTATGAAGGCTGGTCCTATCATTGATGACTTGTCCAGTCTTAGACTCACCATTCCAACTTCAATGCCGCCATTAATTTTCTTCAATCGTGTGATGCTCAGCTTCCCTTTCTTGTGTAACAATCACTCGACACTCGCCTCTGTGAAGCGACCTCAGGCCCTTTGTTTTCTTCCTTTGTAAGCTTAACCCTGGACTTGGTTTTTTTTTTTTTGTAATGTTGGTAGGCTAAAAACTTTCCAAAACATGTTGTGCTGTTTATACGATCAGATTCAACATGCAGTCATGTTAATTAAAATTGAATTAAAGCAGCCTTTTTAATTCAAAAAGAGTGTTGTGAAGAATGAAGTCATTAATACGTACGGGAGCTT